ATTTTATTCAAAAACACACACCATTAAACGGAAGCCTAATGTAGTGATACAACTAAAATGAAATGTTTAGATGCTCAATATTTTTTATATTGCTTAAAAAATGTATGCCTTATGTGTTCGTTAATTGTGTAATAGTCATTACATTTAATAAATTAGGTTAATTAGCTTCTTAAATTCGTATTACATTTCGATATTACTATTGTACTACTGCTGTATTACTTTTGTTCTCCACCCATATCAAGACTCCAAAGAGATCGAAAAATGTTGTGGCAGCTCACCAAACTCACGGTCACAGTAATATCAACTATACTCTAATGATATCTTTCTACTTCTACTCAAATAGGCAACGTCATTTTTATTACTTATTGTACTTATGTGTTCAAATCCGTATATATGAAAAAACTATTCCTTACATTTTAAATTATTGAAGAATGTGGTGCAAATGCTAAATAACTCTTTATTTCTATCATTAAATTAGTATATACGACACACATTATATGCCGTATTTTTAAATTGTGAAACGTTTAAAACACGTCTGTATCCTTATATATTTCACGAACGTATGAAACATATATTAAGCCGTATTTTATATAATTATATCGTATTATACACGAACGTACGTATTATTGTATTAATCACGAACCGTATATTACTGTTAGCGCTCTAAGCCACAGTCCAATTGGGTTAAGATTTCCGTCCTCCCGGTTATTCTTCAAGGACAAAATATTTTTCCATGACTAATGATTCCACATAAAAAGCAGAAATTAGGCAATTTCTCATATTTGGGTATTCAACCAAAAATTCATTCCCCCCTTGCAACAACAAAAAATCTAGGGCCACCTTAATTCGCAAGAAAGCATTCCGTAAAGTAGAAAAACTATGTGCATCTATGTTGATAAAAGGTCCTAAGCGATTACCATCCCTTCCCTTCAAGTGCTGGGCACAAAGTTTTACCATCGACCATAACATGTGTTTTAGCATCCACCGCGCATTCCATTATTTCCCTTTCCCAGCCTCAAGAAAGCTTTGTGGCTAAAAGTCGTCGACCTAGATATGCGGCTTCAAACCATACCGCAGAGACCTGCACTCTTCCGCTTTTCACACTTCACACATTTTTTACTCATATTATTTCATATGTGTGTGTTTGTGTTTCTACTACTCCCTCCGTCCCATAATTATCTTCATTCTTTCCTTTTTGGTCCGTCCCAAATTTATCTCCTCTTTCCCTTTTAGCAAAGGATTTGTGATTCACAATCATTCTTACACATTTCTCTCTCCTCTGCACAACTCTCCACCACACATTTCCCACTTTCTTAATCTTCACGCCCAGTCAAAACCAAAGTTAATTCTGGGACGGAGGGAGTACATATTTTTTTGAAAGGAAAACTGACATATTATATTAAATCAAACTCTCAGTGTGTAACCAAGCGACAATACAATCAGGAGAATTACAAACAATATAATAACCACCCGACACTAACCATAAGCCCACCAGCCCCCTCACTTCCTTGTCAGACATAGAGTAATTCACCCCAAAAAGAGCGAGACCAATCGTTGAACATGTGAGACTATCGAGGCTATTAACGGCTGAGTCAGCCCGATTGCCTCCCAACAGAAATCTAGCAAATAAAATAAATCAAACTATGCACCTACCACCCTTACTGTTTGCCATAATAAAAACACAATAAAAATTAAGAAACAGAAAATAGCAATAGGAAATAAACTTCAACTGATGGAACAGTTGAATCCAACCTTCAAGCATCGTCTTCAAAACCCTAGTCACACAGTTTCTCCGTAATGGCGGTTCAGAAGGGAGGACGAATAATTCTCATTCCATCTTCTTCCTCCATCACCCGATCTCTGCTCTTCACGGCCAACAAACAACCCACTAAGTCGGACAAAACAAACCGTCAGTGTTCCACCCAGATCAAACACAGCTGGTGCAACTTCCACCTCAATCACCATCAGAGCCAAAATAGCCAAACCAAGCATCAGAAAATCGGTCCTCACAACCCTAGCCGTCGCAAGTCCACGCCCTCTCTGAAACCGTTGAACGCCATTGATCTCAAACGTGAAGACAATCTGTTGCCGCTTCATTGAATTCCTCTTGCTCACTGTCAGCCACTATTTGTCACAGACAGAGCCGCCTTGTTTGTCGTTCAACACACGCTGTTTACCCCGAGACAAAGCTGGCGTGAATAAGTGAATGACCACCGCGGTTGCCGGCAAAAAAAACTAGACTACGCTTGGTCTTCCTCCGCTTAATTCAACGTGTCCATGATTGGAAGCCGAAAACTATTTTTTATTACATATTTAAAAACTTGATTTATCCAATCCTATTTATCATGTTAATTAATTTGATATGGGTATACTTTTCTATTCATATGTGTTCTCGACACTTAGTAAGATAGCGAAAAATATTATTCCTAGAGTCGAGACTAAGAGGAATGTATAAACCAATGCTTCCATAAATTAGATCGTAGTTTCCAATTATAGCTTTCATATGCAGAAGATTTTTTATGGTCTGTCTCAATTACATTTTTTATTTTCTTTTCCATTTATTTTTCTTTTTTATTTTCTATGTTTGTATTCCATTTCTAAGGACATCATTACACTCCACCCAAGTGCATCCCTACGAGCTCACCTCCGCTTTAAAATTTCGAGTACGAGCATTGATGTCTGGTGATGGAAACGAACATACTCCGTAAATATTAAGGTCACATCTCAGTGAATTCACCTAAACTAATCTGTCATCCCTGCCTTCCCATTATTTTGATCTCATAATATGAATTCAACATTTTCTGCTTGATGAGTTGCAATCATTTTTCTTGAAATGGTTGTGGAGGGTTTAGGATGTGCAATTAAGAAGTTGAAGATGAAGAACGAGTGATGGGGACTCCGCCCTCGTATGCAGTGTATAAGGATGTTTTACTTCGGATCCTTTTGGTGTAGCAATGGTGAATCCATGGTGACTAGTACTTCAGATGTCGTCCATTAGTATTAATGACAAAAACTAGTGTTACACCCAGGGCATGCCCCGACATTGTCACTTTGATATGCAATAACATAAGAATAAACATCGTACTTTGAATTATTAGTGTAATGTTAGAAATAATTGTTATCTTACAAATTAAAAATTATTTTCAATTGGCAAGTTTACTCAGAATTACTTCGCGAAAATATATTTTAAGCATTAGTTGTAACGAAAATAGGTTAAACTGTAAATAAGTTGAACTGTTGAAGTAATGGAACATTTTTCCCGAGCAAATAGGTTAAAATAGAAGTCAATCTTGGACTCGGGCCGGGTGGCCCGACCCGGAACTGGCCCGGGACCGGTACTGTGCTGAACCGACCCGGCCCGGTGGCCCGGCCAGTGACCGGTCCAGGTAGGCCCGGCCCGAGAGGTTCCCGGTGTGGGCTCGGGTCACCCAAAAGCCAAACCGGCCCGGCCGATTCCGGCCCGATTCGGGGCTTTTTTATTTTTTTTTTTTAATCTTTTCGGGTTGCGCAGGGTATTTTGGACCATTTGGAGTGGTTTGGAGGGTTGGGGGTGGGGGGTTTATTAGGAAAAGGGGAAGGAAATTTGACCCGAGGCCCGGCCCAGCCCAGACCCGGACCGGACCTGGTGGCTACTCGGGCCAGTCCCGGGCCTCCTTCAAAAAACCCGAGGCCCGCCCGGGCCTAGGCCCGGCCCGGGTCCATGACAAATAGAAGTACTTTGAATTATTAGTGTCACTAAAAATTAAATTTTTGAGTGATACAAAATTAAATAAAAAAAAACTTACAGTCCGAAATACATAAAAATGTGTAAACTTATATACGGAGTACTAAATAACCAAAATAAAATGTGATTATGTAAGCATTTACTTAACTCTGATCCATTAAATTAACTTATTAAAGTCATTGTTCATTTGAATGGTGAGAATGATAGTGGGATATTATGTTTTGTAAAATATTTGCATGTAGGAATTATTTTTTTAAAAAAAATTAAAATTCTAACTTGTAAGTAGTTGGTATCAAGTACTACCTCCGTCCCATTTATGTGTCTTAGTTTGACTTGACACGATTATTAATGAAGTGGTTGAAAAAGTAAAAGTTGTGGTTGAGGTTTGAGTATAATAAAGTGAAATGGTGTAAACCACATATTTCTTTCTAAAAAAGGAAAGTGGGCACTTATTTTGGAACAACTCATAAAGGAAAGTAGGACAAATAAAATGGGCCGGAGGGGGTAGAATTCAAATAATTTGGTACGGTGTTCCACCAAAAATCATTAAATCAGTTGCTACAAAAGAGCTCCAATGGCTTGTTTTCCGCTAGGGAATTACAAAGTATTAATTTATCAATTAATTGTCATAAAAGTGATGTTAAATATTGTTTTATTTGAACAATTAGAAGATGTCACATCAACATCTCATAACTCAATTAGAAGTTGCCATATAGAAACTCTAGCTTTTGAACAAGATATTTAGACATGGAATAAGAGTAGAGAGAGCAAAGAAGAAAAACACTAGGATATATCTTTCTTCATCTTTATGTTTTTATCTTCTTTATACTCTGTACTATTTATCCTTTTATTCTTCCTGTCTTGTTTTTTTAATCCTTTGTACCTTATCATTGTTATCTTATCTTTTTTACCTTTTTAATCCTATTTTATCTTTTTATCTTTCTTCTCTTTTTTATTTTTTTAACTCCAATTTCATGCGTCATTCATGTATTGCAAAAAAAATCAACCTAAGAGGCTTATGTAGAGCCCATTTGATATTTTGATATCTGTGTTTATCAGGCTTACTAGTCAACTTTTAACCAAACATGTAATTTTTTATTTCGCGCGCTGAATTGTGTAATAATTAAAAAAATTAAGGTTTGAGTTACTTTTTGGCTGTATTGGCTGAAGTTACTGTAGATGATCATTTTAGCTATTTTCGTATATTTTTTTTTTTTATTTTATTAGTAAAATATATTTTAAATATAATTTTTTCATAAATCAGCAGAAACAGCCAATACAACTACTTTAACCACAACTTCATAAAATTCAGCAGAACCAGCTGATTCAGTTGATTTAAGTGTTACCAAACGGGCTCGTAATCAACCAATGACACAATACGAAAACTTTTACAGCGTAATGTTTACAATAACAAAATGTCCAATTTGTTTGGAAAATTGCTCTTTTAATACAGCAGACTGGATTAGCAGTAGAGCAGACTCTTCTTGTCAGCTCTCATGATAATGTAGCGAAGAAATGGCCATCGTAATATCCCACCATCAAGGCCTATTCACTTATTCAGTTTCCAGGGATTCAAAGCAAGTCTAATTTCCCAGTTATGGAATCCACTGCTGCTTTACTTCCTGCACGTTTGTTGAAATCCACCAAATGGAATCGACAATGAAGATACACTACTTGTACATCTAGACAACTAGGCGCTACCCTATCTAGAAGGCATCCTCATTATAAGCTATTTTCACTAGTACATGATAAAACATCATGATATGGACATGGATTTTCCATTTAATTAACAAAAATGATTTGAGGATTTATCCGTAATGGGAATAACTTTGTTGTTAAGGAGAATCAACCCACCATAGCAGCTTGAATTCACTTCTCATTCCTAGGGATTACATTCCTAGTTGACCCGAAACCAGCACCATTCATGACAAACTTCCCGCCTTTTAGGGTTCTGCTTGGAGGCCCAAAATCGTACGAGAGTATTATTCTGCTTAGTAGCAGAACAGACTGGATGAGCAGACGAAATCAGTCTTCACTCTCTAAATTGGCTCAAAATTCAGAATATTCAGCAGCTTCAGTCAAACAACTCCTGCCAAACATGCCCTGAATTTCCTGGAAAAGTGAACTTTCCTGTTCTCAAATGGCCTTCAATATCTACAACTAGACCAAGCGAGGAGCTACCAAAGGACTAGCTCAAAATGTGTAGAATCAATCAACACATCATATTGTTGGGAAAAACACCGGACTTTCCCGCTTCGTGAAGTTAAGATAGGCACTTAGGAATTAATATAGAAATGGGAGAACACGATTTCAATTCTTCAATATGGAGATTCTTCCACTATACAAAAAAATAGCAGCACTTACAAGGATGTTACAAAATTGTCTCACTCAATGGTGGCTCACTCAAGCAGCTTGAGGATAGAGACCTCCCAAGCTATCTCTTTTCTCTCTCAAAGAGGCTCTCTAACTATGTTTTTCTCACTCTAGAAAGTGGATTCACTCTTGCTATGATGGTTAGGAATGAAGCCCTCTACCCCTATTTATACTACTCCACCTTCACAATGAATGGTGGGGATGATTTGTATCCAAGGGCGGAGGTTGATTCTCTAGAATGCTCTACACACTCTAGGAATCTCTTCCACTTACATATCCTTTCATACTCTTCCATAAGCTTCTGGAAGGTTCCACACATCTTCAGAATGTTCTAGAGGATTCCACAGTATTCCACAAGCTTATAGAGAGTTCGAAATTTCTCTAGAATTCTCCGGAACGTTCTAGAAAATCCTACACTACTCTAGAAGGCTCTAGAATTTTCTAGAATCTCTCCAATTAAGGAGTGAACCCAACAAATCTCCCCCTCCAGACTTAATTCGGGGGTAGTAGCAAACCTGCACCTTGATAGCAATCTTCGAACTTCTTTGTCTGTATTACCTTGGTCATCATGTCTGATTAGTTCTCCTCTGTGTGAACCTTGTCAAGATGCAATTTCTTTCCTTGAAAAGTTCTCGGCAATATCTTTACCATGGGAGAGAGTATTTCCTCAATGTGCATGCCTTTTCCTTGTTGGTGGAATCCTTTGACGATCAACCGAGCTTTAGAGCGAGACTTTGAGCTTCTATCTTCGGTCTTGATACGATACATCCACTTATTCTTCAAGACTCTTCTCCCGTTTGGAAAATCTACTAGATCATAAGTGTGATTCTCATGCAAGGATTGCATTTCTTCTTGCATGGCTTTTCTTCACTCCTCTTTATGAATATCATTTATTGCCTCTTTGTAACTTTGTGGCTCCCCCTCATCCATGAGTGTAATGTAATCCTCACTGTTATACCGGATGGATGGTCTTCTCTTCCTAGAGGATCGCCTCGGCTCTGATGCTAGCAAGAGCACCAAACTTACTCCAGTTCGACGTGAGGATGGTGCTCATGGTTTTCATCATCATTATCTTGATGTGATCCTCACATCGAACTGGAGTAAGTTTGGTGCTCTTGCTACTTCTCAATCTTGGTTTCTCCGAGTTTTTAATATCTTCCATCATTTGGTCTTCAAAGAATACCACATCTCTGTTACGGACAACCTTCTTATTGACTGGATCCCATAATCGGTAGCCGAATTCGTCCTTGGGTGAGCGATACACTTCTTCGTCTTTGCGTCAAACTTAGCTCGCTCATCTTTGGGAATGTGAACAAATGCTCTGCACCCGAACACCTTAAGATGATTGTATGAAGCTCCTTTTCCAGTCGAAACTTCCTCTGGGATGGCACCGTCCAAAGGAAATGACTGTGTGAGGTTGACAATGTCAACTACGGTCATGATAGCTTCTCCCCAAAAGGACTTGGGTAACTTAGCATGAGAGAGCACGCAATGAACTCTTTCTTCAATTGTTATGTTCATTCTCTCAGCTATACCATTCAATTGTGGTGTCTTGGGTGGAGTCTTCTCTAGCCTAATGCCATATTTCTTGCAATAGGCTCAAAGGGACATCTATACTCACCTCCATTGCCCGACCGCACACACTTGGTCTTCCGGTCGATCTCACGTTCTACTAGAGCGTGGAATTCCTTGAAGGCGTCAATCACTTGATCCTTGAATTTTAATAGGTGCAACCACACCTTCCGTGCATGATCATCAATGAAGGTCACGAAGTATAATGCACCACCAATGGATCTCTTGGACATTGAGCACACATCGGTGTGTACAAGGACGAGGATGTTCTTTCTCCTTGTGGCTGGAGAAAATCTTTGGAAAGCAACCATGTGTTGTTTTCCAGCTAAACAATGTGCACAAGGATCAAGTGACTTACCTTTCAGGTCGAGGAGGACTTTCTTACAAGCGAGTATGTGAAGACCTTTCTCACTGATGTGACCAAGCCGTTTATGCCATACCTCCATTATCAGTGGTTATGTTTACCTCTCCTTTGCAGAGCTTAGCTTGCATCACATACAACGATCCTTCCTTCTTTCCTTGAGCCATGACTAAATTTCCTTTGGTGAGCTTCCACTTTCCTTCACCAAAATAATTCATCAGACCAACATCATCTAACTTTCCAGCGGAGATAAGATTGAGGCGCATGGTCGGGACATGCCTCACATCTTTGAGAACAAGCTTGCATCTGATGCTAGTTGTCGGGACGATGTCTCCTATCCCAACGATCTTGCTTCTATCTTGGTTTCCCATTTGAACCGTGTCAAAGTCACCACTTTAGTAAGATGAGAAGAAACTTCCATGGGGGGTGACATGGAAGGAAGCACCAGAATCGATAATCCAAGAACTATCATCATAAGAAATGTTGAGGATATTACCTTCTCCAACGAGGTATAACAGATCTTCTTTTACGACTACGGCAGTGGTACTCTTATCTTCTTGCTTCTTCGTTGGGCTGATTTGGTCTAGCTTGACATTGACGACCTTCTGATCTCTCTTGAAGGATCTACATTCCATTTTCCTATAACCCATTCTTCCACAGTAATAGCATGTGATCTTTGAGTGTGACTTTGACCTACCTCGAAATTAATGCAAATCTCGGCTTTTACTACGTCCACGAGTCTCATTCCTACCCCGGTTCTCAACTATATTAGCCTCGAGATGGATAGACTCACCTCGTTCCATTCTCCTTGTTTCTTCACCAAGAAGACTATCAGTGACGGTATCCATGATTAACTTTCCTTCTAGAGCTGAGTTACTAAGCGTAACCACGAGTGTGTCCCAACTTTCTGGCAATGAACTAAGGAGTAGAAGGGCTTGCAACTCGTCATCAATCTTCATCTCAATTTTGGTTAATTGATTTACGAGCCCCTTGAAATTATTTAAGTGCTCAATCATACTATGATCATCCTTATACCTTAACTTCACCAACCGTCGAACTAAATTCACCTTATGACGAGGTGTTTTCTTTTGAATCAGGGACTCAAGTTTTGTCCATAATTCATAAGCATTTTTGAAAGTAGAAACATGCTTGAAGAGAAATTTTTGAATATACTTACGGATCATAGCAACGGCCTTTTGATTCAATAGCTCCCACCGAGCATCACTCTTGCCTTCAACCTTCTCTTTATAGATGATGGGCTCATGCATATCCATGCAGTACGGAATCATCGGCTTCCAATATGAGTAGTTGTTGGCGATGAGCTTGAACATGTCTCTGATACCACTGTTGAGAAAAACATCAGACTTTCCCGATTCGTGAAGTTAAGATAGGAACTTGTGAATTAATGTAGAAATGGGAGACATGATTTCAATTCCCCAATATGGAGATTCTTCCACTATACAAAAGAATAGTAGGACTTAGAAGGATGTTACAAAATTGTCTCACTCAATAGTGGCTCACTCAAGCTTGAGGATAGAGACTTCCCAAGCTATCTCTTTTCTCTCTCAAAGAGGCTCTCTCACTATGTTTTTCTCACTCTAGAAAGTAGATTCACTCTTGCTAGGATGGTTAGGAATGAAGTCCTCTACCCCTATTTATATTACTCCACCTTCACAATGAATGGTGGGGATGATTTGTATCCAAGGGCGGAGGTTGATTCTCTAGAATGCTCCACACACTCTAGGAGTCCCTATACTCTTCCACTCCCTTCCATATCCTTTCATACTCTTCCATAAGCTTCCGAAAGGTTCCACACATCTTCAGAATGTTTTAGAGAATTCCACACTATTCCACAAGCTTCTAGAGAGTTCTAGACTTCTCTTAGGATTCTCCGAAACGTTCTAAAAATTCTATACTACTCTAGAAGGCTCTAGAATTTTCTAGAATCTCTTCAATTAAGGAGGGAACCCAACATATAAACTAGAAAGTGGTAAATGCTGCATAGAGCTAATTGGGAGCTACCATATCCCATCAATAAAGGTTAGAAAGGTCGAAGACAAAATTAGGGAGAAGCATACCAGGCCCAACAGCCAGAACTGTTTTTGAACCAGAAGCAACCTATGTAAAAAAAACTTAGTCAGGCACAAACATGCGAGAATTTACAAAATATTGAGAATGATAAGTTAAGACCGATCCAGAATGCATTAAGATGTTCTTTAACCCTCCCCCATTCAAAAGTCGTGTTTAACCCTATTGAAATGTTGAAATCCCTATAAATATATATTACAAAAATGAATGTCCATATAAGATTCTATAGCGTAATAATATCCTAGAGTATATTTCTAAATATTCCAAAGCATATTCCTACATTCATTCTAATATACTATCCTCCGTCTCTTTTTAATCGCAACATGTTGAATTTTACACTATTCACATGTTCTACTTTGACTACATTTTATATAATTATTTTATGAATATTATTTTTTAATGAAAAAGTATTGTTCAATTCATCTCATTACAAATTTTCAAAATCTAATTTTTAAATATTTTTTACTAATAGAGATTAAGATATAATTACAGTCAAAGACGTGCGTTGGCAAGTGTGAAATGTTGACCGTTGCAACTAAAAAAGAACGGAGGAAGTATATCACGCTCCCCTTCAAGTTGGACAAGTTGGAGCATAGATATTTATTATGTCCAACTTGTTACATAAATAAACCGTCAAGTAGTTCTCCGGTCTTCGCATATCTGATAGAGATCAATCCCTTATGTATTTTCTCTCGAATAAAATGACAATCAACCTCGATATGTGTTGTTCTCTCATGAAATATCTGAGTATTCGTTATGTGTACAGCAACTTGGTTATCACACCACAATTCAGCAAGCATTGATGTCTTCAATCCAAATTCACTCAATAAATGGCTTATCTAAATGATCTCACATGCAAATTGCGTCATAACTCAATATTGTGATTCAGCACTCAATGGGGAAACAACATTATATTTCTTACTCTTCCACAATACTAGGTTATCCCGCCAACAAAGACACAATTGCCAGATGTAGGTCTTTGATCATCTTTAGAACCAACCCAGTCATTGAGTAGCTTGGTTATTACAACACACTTTAGCAGGCATTGATGTCTTCAATCCGAATTCACTCAAAAAATGGCTTATCCATATGATCTCACATGCGGATTGTGTCATAGCTCGATGTTCTGATTCAGCACTCTAAGGGGAAACCACACTCTATTTCGAGTAACCACACTCTATTTCTTACTCTTTCAGGATATTAGGTTACCAGCAACAAAGACACAATAGCCAAATAAAGATCTTCGATCATCTTTAGAACCGACCCAGTCAGCATCTGTAAATCATTATATTCTCATGTGATCATGGTTTTAATAAACAATACATCATCCAGTGCTCCCTTCAAGTAACATACTCCGTAATATGTTCTACAATAGTCCATTGATCAATAGTTAGAGATGACATGTACTGACTCATTATACTCACAGAGTAAGCAATATCTAGACGAATGACCATGAGATAAATAAGCTTTCCATTTAATCTTCTATATGTGTATGGGTCTTTGAACGACAAGCTTTCTTGAGTGAGTTGCACATTAAGCACCATGTGAGTATTGCTCGGCTTTCATCCTGATTTCCCTATTTCAGCTAGCAAATCAAGTACATATTTTTGTTGGGATAAATATATGCCTTTGTTACTCCGCGTCATCTCATACCAAAGAAGTATTTCAATGAGCCTAGATCCTTTGCCTGGAACTGGCTGTGAAGAAAATTCATAAGGGCCAAAATACTCGCATTATCACTCCTTGTAATCACAATATCATCTACATAGACCACAAGCAATGTAATACCTGCTTTCGCTCGTCTATAAAAGACAGTGATTTGATTGACCTTTTATCATTTCAAATCGTTCAATTGATTGACTGAATTTCTCAAACCATCCACGAGGACTCCGTTTCAAACCATAAAGAGATTTGCGAAGTCAACAAACTTTCCCATTCTCCACCTGAACAACAAATCTCGAAGGTAGCTCAATATAAACATCTTCATCTTCCTGAAGGTCACCATGCAAGAATGCATTTTTAATGTTCAACTGTTGTAAGTGCCAACCATGAGTTGCAGCAAATGAAATAAGTAACCGATCAGAAGTTAATTTGGCAATAGGAGAAAAAGTTCCAGAATAATCAACATCATAGATTTGAGCATAACCCTTCGCAACTAATCAGGCTTTTGGCCAAGCAACATATCTGTATGGGTTAACCATTACAGCAAAGACCCAATTACATCCAATAGTCTTCTTCCTCGTAGGCAAGTCTACCAAATCCCAAGTACCATTAAGTGGATAAGCTCTTCTTCTCTGATAGAAGAAGAAAACCTAGCAAACGATCTCAACGTCTGCCCCAGCCGTAAGCTTAACCAAAAGTTTATTATTGATAATAATTCTTAAGGCATCCTTAAATACTACTTAACCTAATAATAAAATAAGGCCATCTAGGCCCAACAACTTATTAGAAATAACAATTCAATGAAATATGTAATAAAACCCCGCAGTAAACCCAACCTATCTAGGTCCATTGGCGGCGACGGTAAACCAATAACGGGCGAGGCTTGTCCTCCTGCAGCACCGGCCCACTTGTCTTGTGCTCCCTAGCAGGCCCACTCATCTTGTGCTCCCTAACAATTACCTCCCCCTCTGAAGCAACCTTGTCCCCAAGGTTGAAGTGGGGGAACTGCTGCATTCCAACCCAAGTAGCGTCATCTTCTGATTGACCAACCCACTGCACCAACATCTGTTCCATATCTTCCCCTTTTTCCTGCACCTTACGCCATGCCAAAACAGTAACAGGATTGAACACCGGCCCCATAGGTACCTCCAAACTCTCCGGCGGTTCTGTTTCAATGGGATGATCTCCGACAACCCGGCGTAGTTGCGACACATGGAAAATAGGGTGGATCCGGTTGGTTGCTGGAAGCGTTAACCGCTAGACCGTTGGGCCCACACGTCCTTCGACCATAAATGGACCATAGAACTCGGGTGAGAGTTTGTGATGAGATTGTCGCGCTAAAGAAGTCTACCTATACTATCGTACTTTCAGGGAAAAAACGGTCCTCGGCCTCAAACACCACATCCTGATTTGCCTGCTTAATCATTTGTTGTTGCGCCTTTTCCAGGTTACCTCTCAAATGTCGCAACAGCTCGACCCGGCCCCCTAGAAAATCTGCCACGGCCGCTACTCGAAACTCACCCGGCAAGAATCGTTGTAAAGCTGGAGGTGGCCTGCCATACACCACTTCAAAAGGGGTCATTTCGGCTGCAGTTTGGTAAGCGGTATTGTACCAATATTCTGCCCAAGGTAACCAATGAAGCCATTTCTTCGGTTGGTCACATGTAACACAGCGAAGATATGTCTCCAGAACACGATTTGGCACTTCCGTTTGGTCATCCGTTTCAGGATGGTATGCGGAGTTGTACTTCAAGTGAGTACTCGACTGCTTGAACACTTCTTTCCCAATGGTACTGACAAATAATGGATCTCTATCACTGACTTAATGTCCATATTTGGACAGCCTGTCAACCACCACCATAACACTTGTATACCCTTGAGATTTAGGTAAACAAGTAATAAAATTCATGGCCACGTCCTCCTAAACTAATTTTGGAATTGGTAGCTGTTGTAGTAATCCTGCTGGCGACATTGCTTTATATTTTGATTTCTGGCAGACCAAACATTTGGCCACATACTCCTGCACCTGGCGGAACATGCCCTTCCAATACACATTGCATGCTAATCGCCGATACGTCATGAGAGCCTTCGTTGTGATGAAATTCTTGCAATAGTTTCGGAATCCACTCGGAAGTGGCTGTCAGCACCAACCTTCCTTTAAAAAACAGCCTGCCCTCAATTATTTCGAACCCCACCCGGCTGTCCAGGTCAGTCTTCAAGGTAGTCACAGTGCTTTAAATAAACTCATCACACCCTTGTTCCTCCAACACCTCCCGCATCCTTGCCTAATCTGGCACACTCAGTGCTGTCAACAACCCCTCCTCAGCCCTTCTAGATAGTGCATCAACCGCTGAATTGGAGACTCCCGATTTATACTCAATTTGGAAGTCATACCCCAATAATTTGGCCACCCAATTCTGCTGCGAGAGAGTGACAATTTTCTGCAAGAGAAGATGTTTGAGGTTGTGGTGATCGATGCGGACCGTAAAACGATGACCCATGAGATATGGTCGCCAATGTTGTATTGCCAATCTCAGCCCCATTAATTCACGTTCATAGGCTGATTACTGAAATAAGCAAGTGGACGACCTTCTTGCATCAAGACTGCCCCTACTCCCATACCTCAAACATCACACTCAATCACAAAGTGACGCTTGAAATCCGGCATGGCCAAATTAGGCGCTTCAGTCAGCGCGCTCTTCAAACAAGTGAAAGCAGTTGCTGCCTCCTTATTCCATTCAAATCTGGCTGGTGCGTCTTTCTTCAATAAGGTTGTCAGAGCGGGTTATGATTCCATAATCTTTGACAACACGACGGTAGTAACCTGCCAACCCCAAAAACCCGCGAATATCCCGGAAAGAACGCGGTTGTGGCCACTCAACTACTGCACGAACTTTAGAAGGGTCCATCTCCACACCCAAACGGCATCACTAGAAACTCGTAGTGGCCGCTATGAGTGTGAAAAGCTGTTTTAGAAATATCTCTTTCAGCCACTTGTATTTGATGATAATCAGCTCGGAGATCAAGTTTTGAAAAAATTACAGCTCCCGATAATTCATCGGGCATCTCTTGGATTACTGGAATCAGGTACTTGTCTGGAATAGTCACCTTATTTAATTCTCTGTAGTCCACACAGAAGCGCCAGCTATCATCTTTCTTTTTAACCAAGAGAATCGGGCTTGAGAACGGACTAGAACTTGGTTTGATGATGTTTGCCCTTAGCATGTCGGACACGAGGTTTTCTAATCTCATCTTTCTGGCTATGCTCATAGCTATATGGCCGGACAGATATTGGGCCCGCTTCGGGTGCCAACTCAATACACGCCAGCCTTGGTGTAACTACTGGAACGATATTTTTAACCGTTGTA